GACCGCACGCAGAGCACCCGTCCACACCCTGAGGACTTTGCCAAATGAGCAGCGTCGAAAAAAGAGCAAGCTCTTTTCCCAAATAAACAGCGTGTGTGCCAGGATGACCGCCCTTAACCCCTGAAACCCGAAAGTATGATCATAGAAGAAGGGGAGTACAGGCTGAACAGCCGGCTTCTTTCTCCCTGCTGTTTTCTCTCCTCGCCTTCGTCTGCCCTTCCATGAGTACACCTGAATGTCATACATAGGCTTGTCTTTTCTGATGGTACTGTTGTGCCCCGTAGATTCCGCTGAGCCCTTAAATCTTCTGTGGGATGCTCCAATCGCATAATCAATCGTACATTTGTCGAATGCCCTGTCTGCTCTGGCGGGGCCTCCCTGGAGGAACGGGAGCGACACAAAACCTTGTACATAGCATGGTTTTCGAGTACACTGCTGGCTCCGGCGGGGAAGGGCACGACATCGCATGAAGAGCATGGTATTCGAGTACCCTGCGCGCTCTGGCGAGGCCTCCCCAGAGGGGTGGGAGGGGCGCGAAGCCTCGTAACTTCCGCCACCGAGCCTCCGGGCACGGAGTGGGCATGGCCTCAGGTCCATTGCCTAATCCCCAGAAAATCAATCCTCACTCATGAGAATTCTCTTGGGGCCCCCGGAGCCCAGACTCACAAATATCCCAGGGCCTGGCGCGATTCCCTTGGGCCTTGGCGCACCATGTCGCGTGACATGTTCGGGCCCAAAACGGCCCGAAGACGGGACAAGAGGGCCCCCCCGAGACTCCCCAAGGAGGCCCCGAGTCGCCGAACGATCGCCCCGGGACGCTCAAGATGGCCCCCAGACGGCCCAAGAGGCCTCGAAGACGCCCAAAGAGGCCCCCAAGAGGCCCTCCAAGAGGGCCCCATGAGGCCCACATCATTTACTTCCCCAGAGTAGCTGAAAAAGTTTGGCGTTCTCGCATGTTCGGCTTCCCGACGCTCCCAGACGGCCCTAGAGGAGGCCCCCAAGACCGGCACAAAACGGCCCAAGAGGCCTCCAAGCGGGTCCCAAAACAGCCCAAGAGGGCCCTAAGACAGCCCAAGAGGCGCCCAAAACGGCCCAAAAGGGCCCCAAGACGGCCCCAAGAGGGGCCCAAAGGAGGGAACATGAACCGAACATCCAAGCCTGCCGCCCCAAGAGGCGCCCAGGAGGCTCCAAGAGGCACCGACGAGGTCCCAAGAGGCCCCCAAGAGGCCAAACGTCCAAACTGCCTCCAAGAGGCCCACGAGAAGTCTCCCACGAGATCCCAGCGAACATCCAACAGGGCTTATACCCACAACCCAGGCACGGTGGCGAGATTGACCGAAGGCCATGCAATAATAGGTTAATCGAACACCCTGCGCGCTCTGGAGGGGTGGGAGCGGCACGAAACCTTGTAAACAGTATGGTATTCGAATACCCTGCGCGCTCTGGCGGCGCCTCCCTGGATGGGGTGGGAGGGGCACAAGCCCTTGCAAATAGTATGGCACTCGAATACCACATGTAGCTTCGCGGTCCCTCTCTGCACGGGTGGACGGGGCACAAATTATTGTAAATAGTATGGTTTTCGGATGCCCTGCGCGTTCCTGTGGGGCCTTCCTCGAGGGTTTGGTGCAGCACGAAACGTAGTGTTCGAATACCCTGCGCGCTCTGGCGGGCCCTTCCTGCAGGGGCGGGAGCTGCACGAAACATAATGAATAGAGCTAGTCGTGGTGTTGGTAGTGGTAGTGATAGTGGTAGCAACTAGTGGTAGCAGCAGTAGTTGTAGTGGTAGTGGTAGTTGTAGTGGTAGTGGTAGTGGTAGTGGTAGTTGTGGTGGTGGTGGTAGTGGTAGTGGTAGTTGTAGTGGTAATGGCAGTGGTAAGGATCGTGGTAGCGGTAGCGGGAGTGGTAGAGGTAGTGGTGTTGGTAGTGGTAGTGGTAGTGGCAGTGGTAGTGGTGGTGGTAGTGGTAGATGTTGTGATGGTCGTAGTAGTAGCGAAAGCAGTAGTAGTAGTAGTAGTAGTAGTAGTAGTAGTAGTAGTAGTAGTGGTGGTAGTAGTAGTAGTAGTAGTAGCAGTAGTAGTAGTAGTAGCAGCAGCAGTAGTAGTAGTAGTAGTAGTAGTCGCAGTAGTCGTAGTCGTAGTAATAATAGTTGGTAT